TCAAAAAAATTTGGTCAAAAAAAATTTGGCCTAAAAAATTTTGGTCAAAAAAATTTTGGCTCAAAAAAATTTTGACCCAAAAAATTTTGACTCAAAAAAATTTGGTCAAAAAAATTTGGTCAAAAAAAATTTGGCCTAAAAAATTTTGGTCAAAGAAATTTTGGCTCAAAAAAATTTTGGCCTAAAAAATTTTGGCCCAAAAAATTATGACCCAAAAAAATTTGGTCAAAAAAATTTTGGCCTAAAAAATTTAGGCCCAAAAAATTTTGGTCAAAAAAATTTTTGGACAAAAAAATTTTTGGTCAAAAAAAGTTTGGGTCAAAAAAATTTTGGTCAAAAAAATTTTGGAAAAAAAATTTTTGTCAAAAACATTTTGGGAAAAAGATTTTTGGTCAAAAAAAATTTGATACAAAAAATTTTGGGAAAAAAATTTTGTGTTAGAGGTTAACGGCTACAGCAAAAATTTTGGTCCAAAAAATTTTAGGAAAAAATTTTTGATCAAAAAAATTTTGGAAAAAAATTTTGGTCAAAAAAATTTTAGTCAAAAAAATTTTGGTCAAAAAAGTTTTGGTCCAAAAAATTTTGGGAAAAAAAATTTGGTCCAAAAAATTTTGGGAAAAAAATTTTTGGTCAAAAAAATTTTAGTCCAAAAAATTTTGTGAAAAAAATTTTTGGTCAAAAAAATTTTGGGAGAATAATTTTTGCAACCATTGCTATGAAACCGTTAACCTCTAACGCAAAATGTAACTGTTGACCTCTAACATAAAATTTTTAGTAAAATTATTTTGCAATTTTCGTTTGTGAAGATTTTAACCGTTGTTGCTGTTATCATAGAAACGGTTGCCATAATAACGTTTACCATACGTGCTACCTGAAATTTTCAGTTCATCAAACGTGCCCAATCCATCGCTCTCTCGCCAGCTATCTCACCCCTCCTTCCACCCCTTCTCCTATTTAGGTAATAATACAATTATATATTTTAGTATATATAATAGTATTAACACAGTGTGATATGAAATTAAGTTTTATTTACAGATAAGAAAAATACATCATTTGAAGGAGTAATAGAAAACACAATATTTAATTCAGAGAAGTCATCGGTCAATCTTAGCAAAAATGCTAAGATTATGTATGACTGTAAAGTGTTCACGCTTTACAGTCAATTTAAACATGTCAAAAAAACTACATTTTTCAGTCAATTCAATATTATCAGAGAGCCAATTGTATAGATTTACAAGTCAAAGCAATTACGCACACTTTGATCGAGACAAAGCTAAAGTATAAGGAAGTTGACCAAGATTCAAAAACACTCAAACAGAACACAAACTGTTTTACACAATTGTCTACACTAAGAAGTACACCCATTAAGTATCATTAATAACACAACAAAATTTTAAAATTCCCGGTGAAGTGAGTCAGTCAGTCAGTGTGCAATTTTTACTCGATACTTGGCCATTCGTTACTCAACAATTTGAGTGTTATGATATCTTGTGGCCTCCATGTGATTTCATCTTGATGACCAGAAATATAATGTAGAAATTCACTAGCAGTTTAAGAATTGTACTTGGTTTTATATGAAATGCGTTAACATGAATTGAAAACAGTGAAAATTAAAATTTAATGTAATATGTCAAATCCACATTGCATAATCTCAAATGATTCGACCACATTATTTTTCAATAGTTGACTAGATTAATGTGTTAGTATTTGTTATCATAATTAATAATAAAACTACTGATGCTACCTAACTAGCAAATTAACCCACATGCAAGGCATATCGTGCAAGTGATCATTCGAATCATGAAATTCAATGCTTTAATGATTTTGTAAACTTCTAAAAGTTGTAGTGAAAACTGAAGTATTGATCAATTAATATCTTGAACAAAATCACCGCTTTATAAATCTATTCGTGCCAAATGCAATTCCAATAAATACCACATTCAGAGCGTCACAGTAACAATGTTCATATAAAAACTGAAGGACTCTGGTAGCAGCAATTTCAAACCTGCCTGCACCTGCAAAATACACAAATTATTATTGAAATTAGTTGATTATACATACATTATAAAATGTCGTTGTTGATGCGTCACCAAAGCTGTCTTCGGGTGCAATGCAGCACTCCAACGAAGCACAGAATAGTCTTTGTTTGCATCTTTATATTCATTCAAATTGTAACTAATTCTTTGTCAATTTGTTGTTCAAATTGTAACTTTTTTCAAGTAAAAGAAATAAAATAATGCATTTATAACAAAAATGGCTCTCATGGAAAAGTAATTTTGCTTTAAAATTCTTGATGACATAATGATTGTGGTCCAATTTACACAATACTTCTGATCTATGAATTAAAGGGAATTAGCAGATGATAATGATGTAAATAAGACTTCAAATTAAACAATTCGTATAAATGTACTCATAGTAATTCTCAAAATGAATTAACAGTCATTATTTTTTACTTTCACAACTTTTTACAATTACTTTCGATTATTTCCTTTGCACAATGACTGCCAGCCATTCAATTGTGAACTCTTGCTCAGTTAACAAAATAATAATATGTAGTTTTATTTAACAGTGGGCACCAAATAATGCAAAATAAAATTATTAGATTAAATATATCCGGCGTACGTCTTAGACAGTAGTACTACTTGAGCAAAAACTACATAAATCGAGCACACGTTTTCTGAAAAAACAGAAATGAGAAACTGTTTCAATTAAATCTAAAACATCTTACAACACAAACTGAAATCCGAGTAAATCCGCAAAGAGAAATATAATTAGCACAAGTGCAAAGACTCTCATTATTGGATAAGATGGGAATGGTAAATAAAAGAAATGTTAGTTTATATTAGAATAATTTTATATGTATCATGACTGTTGACTTGTATAATAATATTAACTGTATATCAATGTGGTATGTAATACCACATACCACCATAAGCTTTTGGAAATCAATGATGAATACTTCTTATATGTACCTAAATTAATCTGAAAGAACAAACATTGAGAGGATATAATTTAAATTATAAAATTTTAACAGGTATGTAATATTAAATTCACACAAATAATTACCAATCTATGGAGAAGACCCTCTTCTATCAATATTAGCAAATACTGCTCATCGGTATAAAATTTTGGAGAAATTCTTCAACCTTGCATATACTGATACAATAGCTTCCTAAAATTTTTAAAAGTAATATCTTTTTATGCAATAAAACAAAACATACCTGCAGGTAACGAAACAATTAAATCAAATCAAATTGCAGTGTAGAAATCCTGTAAGTTCTGACATCCTATCAAATACGAAATTCATTCTGCAACAAAATGCTAATAGAAAGATCTAAAATTTGTTCAGCTGATAACACAACATGCAAATCATAAAATATCTTATAGCCTTGTCTGAAACAACTATCTATCCAACGAAGCAATTTATTTCTTCGTTAATTTTCTTTCGAAATTATAACAAAATTCATTTTCTTCTTCACTTAATATCCGCACATGATTGGTGACACAGATATGCCGCATTATTAATAGAAATAAATAAAAACTGCGATTACAAGAAACAATAACCATCTGTAACAAGCCCGTAAGCCTCCCGTAAGTAAAAACACCATTATTATTGGGAATAACACCACCTTAAAACATGCTAAGATTTTGACATTTGCTAACATTTCAGCCAGCATGAAGTTGGCGACGAAATAGAAGTTAGCTGTTAAGTTGAAAAAATTCAACTTTGACAACTAAAACCTGTCAAGATTATTATTATCACAGCCAAACAAGTATTATTATTATTATGATTATTATATTGTCTAATACCAAGTTGATAGCCTTTACCTTAGACAATATATTACGTTAAAATACAATATTTCTTGTTTCCTCATAGCAAATATAGTCTAGGGCAGCGGTTTCCAACCTTTTCTTCCTTGCGTCCCCCTTACGAATGATAAAAATATTGCGCCCCTCCCATTCTTATTTTTCTAACAATTTAATTTAAATATACTTAATATAACTGAAATTATGCCAAATAATACACAGTATTATAAAAAATATACAAACAAACATAACTATTTATTTTAAGAATTTTCTATTATTAGAAGAATATTATAAGAAGAAGAAGAAACATAACTATTTATTATGAGAATTTTCTGTTTCACATAAGTAAGATCTCACAAATGGTAATAAAATTTCTAAAGAATTATTTGCCAAAGTAGGAAAATCGTCCTTTACTGGTAACCAAAACTTAACAATATATTTTCGTCCTGAAACATCTGCGTCAATGTGCTATCACTAGATAAATCAATTATCATTTTCTGCTCTGCTGTTGAATGACCAAAATCATCATGTTTCTCAATGACAAATGGATTTCTAATCCATTCGTATTTGGACGTAATTAGATAAAGTAATGCGAAAATTGGTTTCGTAGACTAGTGATATGACTGATATAATAATAATAAGATCTTTACTTACTTCTATTTCATCAGTAACACAAGTAGTTTTAAAAGTGGGAAACATGTTAAAGTTATAAAGTTATTTGATACTAGCTATACACAGTTCTAATTTTTTCATTAAAGCCGTAATCTTGTCTTTCTGAACAAAAGCACGAATTTGAAATCCTTGCATTGATTTAATTAAATCGCTAAGTCTTTGAAAAATATCAACTAAATACGCAAATTTTGCGAGGAACTTTGTGTCCTAAAACAAGATTGCTCCGTCTCTTTTGTTATCAGCAAGAAATATAGCAATTTCTTTTTTGAGTTCAAACACTCTTAGAAGTACTTTAAGTATTTTGCTGATTTGTTTTTGACACTTACTCAGCATTTAAAAATAATATTTTTGAAACAGCTTCGCGCCCCCCCTGAAACGGTATGGCGCCACCCCAAGGGGGCTCGCCCCACAGGTTGGAAATCACTGGTCTAGGGTCAAAACGGTCTGCGCATGCGTCTGACGGTTGTGGACGGTCAGCTGTCAGTGACTGCACAGCGACAGCGACATACCGATACCGACATCCGACATACCCTTAGTTTGACAGCTGCCTACAGCCCCTAGAGCCTACATAACCCAACCGCTCAACCCTAGACAATATAATAATACATAACGTCAATAACATTTTACGTCGCTCGCCAATTGTCTAGTAATTCTTTAATTGTCGAAAGATGAGTGATTTTGTGAAAAACATAGAAAATGCAAAGTAAGTTGTGCTAAAACTTCATTTTCTAAGTGTACGGATGCAAAGGTTTTTGCATCACATTACTTCAAGATGGATATCGAGGTATACAAAAAAATTATATATGCTATTGGAAAGCACTCCGGTTTATCAAGAGACTGTAAAAAAGTTCTTGTACGTATGTTTCCAAATATTCCTTCGAAAACGTTAAGTTCCATACTTTCTTTAGAATATCAAAAGAAAATGCGCAAAAAGCATGTTAAAACAAAATCTGTATCTGAATCCTATATGGATAAATATAACAAAGGAGTCAAGATTATTGACATCGCAAAGGAAGTTGACATAGCACCTGCTTTAGTGGCTAGGATGATTCTTGAAGAATACTTAGCTTCCGACATTGGTAATCAGCAAACTGTAGGTAGTAGACGATACGTAAGTGAATTAATGAAGGATACAACTAGAATATCTGATCAAAGATTATCAACAGAGGTATATGAAGCTATTGCTTTCGATAGTTTATATGGGCCAATAGCAGATTGCATAAAACGAACACTCGGTGAACAGTATGAACAGAAACTCAAGTGCTATGCTATTAGCATGAATTTATCTTTTCGAGATGAATTGCAATTGAGGCAAAGTGGATTTGATAAAACTCCTGATCTTAAATTAGAAATTCCGATAGCTGTCAGTGGTCATGTTGTAAATTGGATTGAAAGCAAAGCCTCATTTGCTGATATTGAAACTCATAAAGGATATATAAAGGAACAATTCATGAGTTATTGGAATAGATTTGGCCCGGGATTAGTAATTTATTGGTTCGGGTTTGTGGAACGATTAGAAAATATAGAAGACACTGCACATTTTATAGTTAGAGATAAGTTTCCCATTGATGAAATACAATTTATGGAGTGATTTTTAATTCTTTTTAATTTTTTATTGTACATGGCTTGTTTCAATAATCAGATTACAATTTAATCTACAAGAAATACAGAATTAAATAAATGATTAAATCATAATTAATAATAATAGTAATAATAATAATAATAGCAATAATAAGTAAGTTGTGTGGAACATTTTTCTGTGCATAATAGAAAAATTCATATTGTGGGCTGCAGTAGACTGACTTTGTTAAAACTTGGCTTTTTTCTCTTAAGTTGCCTGAATTTTTTGACTGACTGGTTTGTACATACATCTAATTTATCCTGTAAAATTGAGTTCTGCTTTTAATATCCTCCGCCATGGTGGGTCCTTGGGTATCAATATTGTTCGTGAACATGGTCATGAACCATGGAGCATTGCTGATCATTCTTAGTATATTGTTTTGAATTCTCTGAATTATAAGAATGTTGCTTTTGCTGGCACAGCCCCACAGTTCTATATCATATGTTCATATTTGAATTATCATAACTTAATAAAGTAGAAGCTTATCTTCGAGAGAGAGTTTGCATGATCTTCTTATGAGCCAGTACAATTCCTTCATTTTAATATCTATCTGTTTTCTTTTCATTGTTATGTGCATTTTCCAATCATTTTTAAATAATTCATAAATATTACAGCCATTAAAAAGTCATAAATATTACAAATATTAGATTATTACTATTATTTGTAAATTAGAATTGTTAGATTTTCTAATGTTTGTATTATTTAGTTATTAAATAAAACTTTGTCTAAATATCAAATAAACTTTATTAAAAATATCAAATATCTTAAAATATAACAAGAATACATTTTATACATCTCACAAGAAATAAATTCTCAAAAATATTCTGGCAGTTTCTTATCTCTAATTAAAAAAAAAATAGAAGTTGACGATTTGTAAAGCTTATATCAATAAAAGGCAATTTATATTATCACTTATACTTATTAATAAAGATCTTATTATGCAATTAAATTATTTTATAAATAATATTATTGTTTAATGAAAGCAGAACAGTAGTTTTATATTGCATATATGACGGTGCAGGTGATTTCACATTAATACAAAACCAGTCACCATTGATAAATACATGCACTCATACACACAATTTAATAAAATTCATTTTGTCAATATATTAAGATTTAATCATTAAAATAAATCATCTAGTATAAAAATATACAAGTGTTTTTTTATATCAATAAGAATAACGCAACTAAAGCTTCATATCAATTAAAAACAAACTGAGATCTAGCTCCCTTTCAACGAAAAAATTACAATTTAAAACCTGATTAGACTACTTATTTTAAGTTGTATTAAGTTTGCAATTATTTTCTGTAATCATATTTAGATTTTGCTTGAAAATGCTTTACTATCAAAATCATTAACATGGTTGAAAAACTCTTAAAAAAATCTTAATATTAAAAATATGTATAGGAAATGGAAAGTGTCTAATCAGCAATTGCATCGCGTAAATCATGGCGCTCATTTAAATTTTGCTCAGTTACAAAAACAACTAAAACTAGAGACAAAACGTCAATCAACAAACGTCAAGTCAACTTTTTAATCCTTAATGGTCCAGTTTTGTCTTAGAAGTGCATTAGTTGAAGTGTATGCATTTACTCTATGCATTTCTGTGTGAATTTGTTATTGTTCGTTAACATTTGTAGTTTTTGGATTGTAGACTTTTGTTCTTTTGCCTTTTAACATAGTTTTAATTTCACAAATAAACAATAGTTACACAGTTGAATTTATTTGATCCTACTATATTTTATCAATTGATCTATCTTTTGGGGCTGGTCCAAAGTAAATTTAATATTTTTCTGGACATTTAAGGGTTAATTATTGTCAGCATTCAACTAAAATTAGGTTTCTATTACACAAAGCATTTTTTGTGAGTATTTGATATTATATTTATTATACTTTCAAAAATGTTTTCAAACATTTTATTATTTATATTAACAGAAAGAATATTAAATAAACAGTTTTAATCTCACAAATTCACATATTTTCTATAAATTCAAAAATATTGTTGAGTACAATTAACTCAGATGTAGTATGTCTTCAGTAGTATATAGATATACTAGAAATTTGAATATTTTTTAGTCTTCATAGAGTTAAGTACATTGATCATCACATAAATACCTTAAATGTATATATTCTTTAAAATGGCAAGAATTAGCAGTTTATGTCGGCGTAAAAGTATATAAGCATTAAAGATCTTGGTAAAATGTTGAAAGCAAAATCGCAGAGAGACGAATAGATCACAGCACGTATAACATGTATTTTACAAAGTACGATAAATCATATGGTAGCTACCTTTTGCTAGATTTGCTAGTTGGGGAATTACCGGCCGTTGCAGCGGTTTTTTGGGCAAGATGAGTTTGGTAATGTTTCGCCAAATGTGCTTTCTGTCTAAAACTCTTCCCGCATAGAGAACATGCAAAAGGTTTCTCACCTGTGTGTGTGCGTATGTGTACATTCACAGAATACTTATCTTTGAAGCCTTTTGAACAAATGGAACAGTAATGTAAAGACCTCTCTTTTCTTGTCGTTCCTGTACATCCGGTATTTGTTGTGGAATTAGCATGCTGCACAGAAGTCGTTTTATTAGAAGTCTTTCTATATTTTTTAGTTGTAGGAGGCTTAACTGTTACAATTGAGTCTCCGATTGTAACAGTCGCTGTTTGCCCTATCGTTGCACCAGTAAGTGGGGCAAAAGTTTCGGCGCAAAATTGTTGGACTTCTGTGGCAATTCTCTTTATTTTCTCATAATCTTCTGGGAATGATGCCGCATCGAGCTGTGACAAAAAAGTATCGTCCACTGGACGAGACGTAACTACCACTGCATCTTCTTCAAATGGGAACGGAGTCATTGGCTCTTCACCAGGAGGCACTATAGGAAACAGAACTGTAGGAGTAGCCGGAGGCCTTTCTTCATCAGTTTTGATGCATTTTGCATAACCTTTGTTGCCTTGCAGTGCACTTCTAAGCAAGGAATCAGCAGATGCAGCATCATTATTATGATCTTGTAATCTCCAATCGTTATTATTATTGTTATTATTTGTAGATGACGATGTCGATTCTTCTTTAAGCACACATGAAGTGTCAGCATACCCACTGTCTTCATACTGAAATCCATCATCTGATTTAACGGTTGTGAACCCAGGAAGGCCTCCTAAAATACTTTCTAAGTCTAAAGCTGCTACCGCTGAAGTACTCGAAGATTCATCTTTTCGCGGTACCCAAGGTTCTGGACTCGAGCCCCCATTTAATACTGTTAATGTATAAATTTGTCCGTCTGTGTTGCCACCTAAATTTATAAAATAGAAGTTAATTTAACAGAAATAAAAATTGCATTGGTGTATAGTAAAACCAATGATACATCAATAAACAATACTTCTAAATACCTATTGTTCCCATAGGAGGTAAACTTGCATCAGCGGGCTGCGTCCAACAATATCTACTCAAATCTTCTAAAATTGCAGATTCCATAAGTCTAGCAGAATCTTTGTTGTCCGATGATCCTATTGTTCCATTCGAAGTGGCTCCCCAGAATTGATCGAACCCTGCTAACTGTGGTGTCATAATAGCAGAAGTTGATAGAAGACTATTATTATTTTGTTCTTTTGCTTCTACTTCTCCTGAATTTTGTGACGTTCTTCCTTCCATAAACACTCCCACCGATCGCATTTGTTTTGCAAGTTGTAAGTGCTGTTGATCATTGAACATCTCTGGAGCCACAACAAAATCAAAAAAGTCAGTTTTTGAAATATCTTCTTGGCGAAACGCTTCCGTTATATCCATTTTATATTAAATATTTGTTCCAGTGTTATCAGCTAATAAACGATAAATGTTACGTTTTAGTTTTTTATGAACCATCAAACGCACCCAATTGGAAGCAAAATAATCATCTGCAAAGAAAAAAAATAGTACATCAAGTCTATATTTACTGAAGAATTACAATATAAATGCTAGTTCTATAATTTATTTAATAAAATATATATATTAGTAAATTTAGTTATAATTGGATTGTAGTAATACAAAAACATTTACTTTTTTATATAACCAAAACTAAAATTAGGAATACTCTTTCATTTTTATTAAATGCAATTCCAGTTACTAGTAAAAACATCATAAAACGTCACATCATGCAGAAAGGTCAAAATAATCGTTATTGCACTACTTTCACAAGGACGGTAAATGTGCTTGAACAAGCTAGATTTTTTTTCGTGTTGTACGAAATAGAATTGCCACCTCAGGCAAGTTTGCTAGTGGCATAAATGACATCACTTTTAATAAATTAATTTTGAGTTTTTCTGAACTTGACTGAAATTATATAGGTCACCAATACATTATTGCAGGAGCAATTTTTGGTAATTTTCAATCGAAAGATTTGTAATATTAGTATTCCTTGAAATAATTCATCACTTCAATCTGGTAAAAATTTGTTGATATTTGTCACATAACAAAAAGCATTCTGTATTTATGCAATAAATAAATGATTTAAATTTTGTCTTTGAGTTTAATCTGATATTGATGATTTTTTGCAATCGGAAGTGATATCATTTGGAAATATATTGCAATTTTTATTTTAAACTGATGTCACTACTTCTTGACATCAGACTATATCCGAGGCAGGCATAAAACCTGGAACTATATTAGCCACTATATATATGGAACTCTACTGTTCATTCTGTTGATTTGTTTTTTGAGGTCGAAAATTCTGCCAGAATTCAAATGGTTTCAAATTATCACAAGCAATTATTACATTATCATGAACAAATGCAGTGAAGTTTATGAGTTTCGTAGGCATGAATTTATATGGTTGATAAATATATATCTGTTACATATAATTTCTTATCATTCATCACTTATTGAAGTGATTCTCTAACTATCTATACAATATTTATCAGATTAATTTATATGTGTGTTTGAAAGTGTGTGTGTATGTGCAAGTGCGATTTTTGCAAGAAATAATAATGTGGTATTAATTTGGGCTATAAAAATTAAATTTATTTTTATTAAAAAAAAACATACTGTTTAATTTAAGACCATACCAACTTCCATCCCTAACCCCAATATTTCTATGTAAAGATAGCCTCGTTTAAAGCTGTTTTGCATTTAGTTTTAGCGGGGTATTACTCTTTACTACCCCAAATGTATTTATGAGATGATCATTATATGGCAGATAAGTACAAAATGCCATCAGTAGTGTGTATTTGTCACGTTCTGGAATTTCTTGAAAAGCCGTCAGTCGCCCCGATTGCGATTTGGCTATTAAAAGTGCAGAACGACGCAACTGATTCGTTGCTCATGCCGATAAATTGTATGTTTAACCGCTGCTCGGTTCTTTAATTATGGAATTGCTTAATGTGAATTAAGTGCGTTTGCTAATTGCCCTGCTGAGTCAATGACATCGATTTGCCGAATACCTTCTTGCCATTTAAGATTCATTTAAACGACGAAAAAAAATTATCCACGGCTATATTACTCGTACTGAACACCGGGGTGACAGTACGAGTAAAAAGTTTTTTTATTTGGTTAAATTGAAACTACATTTGTAATATTATGGTAAAATAATAAGAATAAGCTAAATTTGTTTGAGTCAAGCCCTATGAACTGTTGTGAGGATACACCATGTGGCTTTTTACAAGGCAACGCATGGCCTATCTCTATTTGATCTATATATTTTATTATTAAATTTGTTTTTATTATTTTCATGACAATTTTAATTTAATGCAGCAATGTAGAGAAAAGATTATTTTTGGAATGGAAACATATTTTCATTTTCATTTTTTTATAACTAATGTTTACTGCCACCTTCTGTTTGGAAGGCTAAAGCTCTAACCACTATGCCACAAAAAGGCCCCTTAATATATAATTTAGAGAAAATAAAGAATAAGCAATATTAAAGTTATTTAACGAAATTTGGTTAAGTGAAAACGAAATAATTTAAGACTAATTCTTGAATCAAAATTAAGAAAATATAATGCTAAAAATGTTTAAAGCGACATTTTAAACGCCGTGTAAAACATACAAGAATTAATTTCTGTCGATAAACAGGATCAATAAAATAAAAAAATGTTTCAATTTATCATCACAATTAGTGTTAATAATAATTATTTTCAACCAACGTCAGTGGAAATTGATAGTAATGGATAATTCATCACAATTTTGGAAAAAAATGATCAATAGACATATGCACTAGTGCTGGATTCACAGTACAATCGGGGCTACTGCCCAGGGCGGCAAATTTTGGCGGGCGGCAAAATTTGGATAGTGAGAAAAAAATTCTATACAATATAATCAATAAGAAAGAAATATAATGAACAAAACATAATACGATTGCAATGCAAAATTTGGGTTGAAATAAACGATAACTAAAATTTATTATTTTGCCTTGCCTCCCTCTCCGAACGTAAATTATCAAATTGGTTAATAAGTTATCAAATTTGGCAATTTGGCCAATATAAAGATCCGTAAACAAGCTGAAAGTTTAAGAAAAATATGTTCTTCAGTTCTCGAGCCTTCTTAAAATGACGTATTTGTGCACTTCCAAGCTTATAGCGTCGAAAAAAATATTTAAACTAGTGACTCATGGCATTGTGCCTTAAGACAAATTACTGAAACATTCCGTACTGAAAATTACATTTTATAAAGAGCTTTAAATTTTATTGAAAAATGAAAAAAAGACTAAAACACATTTTTTGTATATTGAAATTTTTCGAAAATTATGAACTTTTTGCAAAGCAATCGCGCTGCGTAGCTGTTTCAGAGAAGAAATATCGAAACTAAATTATCATTTTTCGTAATTGCCTGTACCAAAAGCTAATCAGCACGTCTTCCCATCAATACAAATCTAATATTTTTTAATCATTCAAGTCGATTTTGAGAACACGGATCAACCGATTTATGATTCAATTCCTATTGATAAGGAGTCGTGCTGATTAGTTATTGGTCAAGGCAGGTTCAACAGTTTTGAAGATACGGGCCAAAATGCCAAAAATGATTATTCAGTTTTTGAGAAAAAGGCGTCCAATAACAATCAAAATAATTTACAGAATAAATAACTGCTTAAATTTGTGGGGGACAAGTTTAGCGGTTTCGATGATCCAATAAAAAAATTTGAAAAAGAAACATTTGGCGGACAAAAGTGATCATAAGACATATGCACATTAAATTATCAGATATTTTAAAGATATTATAATAATAAGTATAACTTTTGTTTCCATTTATATAAGTTCTGTAACATTGTTTATCTGTTAGACTGCGACGCGGCGCTTACGCGCTTCGATATTTTGTCCCTCGCAGTTAAAGCAGCGCGATTACTTTAAAAAAAGTTCGAAAGTTCATAAAATTTCAGGGATGGGGCGGCATTTTTGTCAGTGCCCCGGGGCGCCAAATTTCTAAATGCGGCCCCCATATTTTATAAAGATTTCAATAATAAGTACCATAAGTACTAATTTTATTTTCATTTATGTGGATTCCGCACCAAGATTTTTAATGTTTAGGCGTGAGAACGCGACGCGGCGCTTACGCGCTTTGATATTTTATTCTCAAAAACAGGCACACGACGCGATCGCTTTGAAAGAAATCCAGATGTAATTAAAATTTTCGGAAATTGTTAAAAGAAAATCTAAATTTCTGAATTTAAATCTAAAAAACAAATCAAATCTTAAAATTTTCAAACTATAAGTAGTACTGGAAGTTTTAGTAATGTGCCTTAAGGCAAGATGCCTTAACCACTACAGCAGTTCTTAGAAGTCTGCTCGTTATTAGAATTTTTCCAGTAGTGATGATTTCATTATAAAATATGAACATTAATTTTTTTAATGTTTTTTTATTTAATTTATTCTGCAATCTGTTTTACATAGGCATTAACATTAAGCAGAGATTGCTAACAATAATTATCAACATGAAAATTGTAAATTAACTATTATTTTTCTGTCCCCTGTATCAAATCCGGGTTCCTCTACTAAGGTAAAATATGCGAGAATTTCAGCACAATATTTCTCGTCGTGTTGCCACTTGTAATCTCGTTTGCAAATCCGTTGCCGTTGGTAAATAAGTTACCAGAGCGAAAAACTTTAAACGCAACGAGTGCCAAGAAAATTTATATAAAATATTATCTTATGAAAATGCACGACGATAAATTTTAAACATCAGGCAAAATATGTAATAAGCTGTAATAATTTGCAAGTCAAAATGATAATTATAGAAATAATTATGAAACCTAAACTAATTTTACGAAGTAATAGCTAAATTATTTAACTAATGCAAAATAAAAAATCCATGGGCTCAACGTTTACATAGATTACATATATCATCGTATATGAGCTTCGTCTGGTATTTTGTAAGAAATGTTCCTTAAAAGCGTTGAAATAACTATTAATTCAATTTAACTTTTGTAAAATTATTCTTTTTAACTTAATTTACTACTTGCTTATGTCAGTGTAAAAGCTGGTCATTTTTACCCCACGAAATGTTCGAGAAATATTAAATATTTTCATATAGATCATTATAAATACTGTAACACTGTTTAATATATATATATATATATATATATATATATATATATATAAGAGTTATATATATATATATATATATATATAAACTGAATTACAAAGTTAAAATGATTTATTTAAAGTATATAAGTGAGCTTTAGAACTTTAGCCAAAACTAAAATCTGAATAAATTTCCATATACAAAAAATATTTATATAATAATATTTTTTTAAAATATTTATAATAATATTTTTTTCCAAAAGCAACTATTTTGTCAAAACAAGAAGAAAGTTTTTTGAATCATTCAAATCGGATGCTTAGTTCTCAAAAACTGCCATTCTTTTACACATTCAGCTCGGTATCTCCGAAACGGCCGGACCTGTCTTTCACCACTTCTCCCCGTCATT